GAAGCAAATGGAGAATCTGACTCTTCAATGATTCCGGCTTGCAAGAGTGCTTTTATCTGAGTTCTAATTTCTTTGTCGTCCGGAATTGAACACTTATATGGACGAGAGGTGACGTATTCATCTCTTAACAGTTTGATCTCAGCTTCCTTCGATCGAACTTTCCCAATATCAAATTTATCCTGGGCAAACATATGTCTATATTTGTGAATAAGATGCAAAATCATTTGTTTGTGCCCATTGTCATCAATGTGGTCTAATTCAGCTTTAAAATCACCTACATTCAAATTTTCATTGAAATTAACATCAACATAATCATTAAAAACGTCATCATAATTGAAACTCTGATCATAACTTGATCGAGAAAAATATTTACAGTTTGATTGTTCAGCAGAAATTGTCTGAGCACTAGGGGCTCGGTCTTCCTGAAAATCAAGGGTTTGTTTGCTATTAGTGCGTTGGAAAATTTCCAAATTTTCATTTTGAATTAATTTAAATGTCTTAATAGCATCAATACCTAGTAACAGATCATATGAGAAATTATCGTTTTTCACAACATAAGTTGTTAAGTAGTCAGTAATGTGTCCAATGCGAAGTTTTATTATAGCCCGGGCTGAAGTAAAATTACATCCGTTGATAGTTTTTAATAAACTCTTATTTTCTATCAATCTCAACTTTAGCAAATCAGCAATTCGTTGGTTAATAAGCGTAACGTTTGAGCCAGAATCGTATATAGCTCTGACCTTTAAATCGTCGTTAAGAACAACGTTCAATTTTATCAACGGATTTAATTTTGCCCGGTCACTTAGTTTAAATTTTTATCAAGATCAATTTTTAGTATTTCCACGTCGGGAGAATTTTCTATCATATTTGTTTTTAGTTTTTCGTTAGTGGACTGCTTGGTACGGCATTCAGCTACCGAATGGTATCGATTTTTAAAACCAAGAGAAGCACAAAACGAACATGGTTTCCGTTGGGATTCATTTTTCGGCTGGGACTCAAGTCTTTTGTTCAACATAGCTGTATGCGTATCGTTCAACCTTGGTCTGGAAGGGTTCTCTGTTTTTTTTCTCTGGAATGTGCCTTCCAATTTTCGGAGTTCTGTATAGAGTTCATCGAGTGAGGTAATCAGTTCCCTATCAAGCTTCTCTTGAGCCTCACTAGGTAAACCAACTACTATTAGGTTAATGCGAGATATTTCGCTGCCGTTAGGTTCAACGTCAAGACATAGCTTTTCCTTTGCCAGCGCATAGTCAACTAAAGACCCGCCTAAAAATTTAAAATTAAAAGCCTTTTTAACGATGGACCAACCCTTATCAACAAAAACATTTAAAAAAGAATCCTTCCAACTTGTCCAAGAAGCAAATAGCCCTATTTTCCTTATAATAGTATCATACCAGTCTTTTGCTGGTCCAATTAAATAAAAATTTAAAGCCTGAATCTTAAGACTATCCGTGATTATCTGGTTTCGGTTACACTCTTCTTCAAATCTATGCAACCACTCTGTGGGGTTGTTTTGTTTCCTATCGAATTTTTCTAATACAAATTTTTTTTCGATTTGTTGCAATTCTATGCCATCAGGAGTAGCGTTCAATTTTAGCTGACGCTCTAAACGTTTAATTCGATCTTCTAATTCTAGTTGTGAAGGTTCAACAACCCGAGACCCCGTCGGAGCTAAAGGAACATATTCTTCTAAGGGTAATTCTTTGAAACACACATTATTCGAGTCATCAAAATATGTGTTGCGAATTTCGTCATCCATTTTAATAGCTATAGTTCTATAACCGTTTATGTCTTTAATTGCGGTTGTTGCGTTAATTATAGGTTTCTTACTTGACAACACTGTGTGGAGTTTTAGGTCCTTGTGTTCATTTGGTAATAAATACCAAATTTTTTTATCCGTAGAAATATTCTGGATCGTAAAATCCTTGTCACCTTTCTTCACAACTTGAACGAAAATCTGGTTCATCTTCTTGTTTATTGGAATCTTGTAATTTAATTTCTAAGATTGTTTTATACGTGATTTTATTCTGAATAAAAGAATTAAATTACACGTTCTTTCTCAACCAAACAAGAGTTCTTGACACAAATAAAACATTAAAAAATAACATAAACACAGTCAACTTGACCAAATCAAAATGAAGTTAAATCTATGATTATTTATATTAAGCTTAACAACTATCCCCAAGGTAGCAGTACTAACCAGAGGTTACATACATTTAGAAGGACTGCGAATATACCTGCTAACTTTCTCTTTGGGACATTATGGGTTATATGCAGGCAGATCGAAACTTGAAAACAAGTGGCAATAATAAAAAGGTTCAAGGAGGAGGCAGGCAGTTTTCCGAAAAGAATTTTAGAAAGAGAAGTACATTTGTTTCTTTCAAGACGAGTAGGTGCTCTCGTATCGGGTTTGTAATTCAAGGAGTATAATTTTGGGAAATCTGCACATAAACAGGGTTATGTGTAGGTTAAGGTTTATACATTAAGTTTTTGTAAATAATGTTGTGTTTTTGAAAATATTAAGCTTTAACGCAACAAGGGTCTTTAATTTGACAATACTAGTCAATTGGTTCATCGTGAGCTAACGAAATGATGTGTAGCGAATTACGCACAAGGTTATTGTTTATTTTGAAATTTCTGGTGAAATTTGATTCTTTTGATTCACCTGTGTCTTCTTTGTCATAATTCTAAAAAACTAAAAAAAAAGGAAAACTAGACCGAGTTACCAAAATCGTACTGGTACGAATAACGATGCTTTCTATATTCAGGAGGTTGTCGTTTAATTGATATATTAAATTAAAAATCATTAAACTTCTGAACGTATTTAAAAGTCAATATTCTTTGAGTGTCCTAAGGTTATAAATAGCATGTATTGGGGACTATGGTCCGCTAAAGGACTCATCATTACGTAACGTACATTAAGTTGCGGTATGGAGGATTCATACGTTTGATCTTAAATCACCTTAGGGCTTGCGTTTAGATTATGGAGAGAGAGAGTTCTGTGATTGTCTTGCGTTGGTTTACTTGAAGTGCTATACTCCAAACGTTTAGGTGAGGAAATGGAGGGAAAGTTTTCCCTAATTGATTTATTCATTTGTACTATGAGTTTGAATTAGGTTATGGTGAGAGGGTATTCTCTGATTGGGTTGTGTGTATATGTTATGCATCAGGGATTAAGTGGTATTCACTGCGGATTTGCGTCACACCAATAGTGACTACAGTGGAAATTCAAAATTTCGTCCGTTGTGAAGCAACATTTGTCTATAAACAGCACCCAATTAGAAAAAGTAGGTTCTGCAGCACTTTTCTTAAGAATCACTCACAAAAATCGACTCGCATCTGAAAATTAGTTTCAAGCAAGGCTTGCACTCGCTGCAAATGATAAGGATGTAGTACCTGTTCCTATAAAATTTGCCACACTGTAACATGACAAGAGTTAACATTTTCTGGTCTTTCACGTGTACTATTTTGAGGGTTGCCTTCTGTAAAATCAAGGATTTCGTCCTCTACAGCGGCGATATGGTTCAAACCCGTAAATAAGTATCATGCTACATCATTGTAACAACAACTGTTCTACAGTGACATACTGCTCTACTCCAATAATTTTTTTTGTATTACTAAATTAGTTTATTGAAGTGCACTTCGATTGACTGAATACTTACAAAGTTTAAATGTTAAAAAAAGACACAACTACTACAGTTTGAATGTAACACAAACACCTTGAGTCACACTTAATGTAATCTAACAAATAACAAACAATATATGAGCAAAAAAATACAAAAGAAATGCAACACTAATGCTGTTAATTACCAACTGATTGAATGCGGTGTTGCCTTGTCGCATGTCTTTACCAGGGCCGGAATTCCATTAGCTTGTACTTTCAGCTAAGTTTTTCTCGGAAACGGTGAACTTTCAGACATATAAACATTCAGGGACTTAATGTTCTTGTTTTATGATGCCGTGTCTTTAAGCTCCGTACTTATTTCTGTTACATTCATCACATTAAACATACTGTGTAATTTACACAGTGTAAACAGCAACAGCCACTCAAAATAAAATAGCAAATTAACGAAGAATTGTTTTGTTTTTATATTTTTTTAATGTTTCATCAATACACAGTAAGTTTAGTTTTTATTTTATTACTTTTGGGAAATCATTAGGCAAAGTAATTGATATAAATAACTGATGTACAATTTTACGAATCCAAACTTTTTTTATTCTTCAAAATTACTTAATTATATTGCAGAACAGGTGAGGTCGACTATTTGTAAGAAATTAACAATAATTACATTGTACCCATGCATAATAGAGCAATAAAACCTGTACCTACAGAATAAGGTTAAGCGCTATTTGGTCGGTCTAATAGGACTGGAGTATAATTTATTTATGTTTGTGTCTTCCTAAATTTGTTACTAATTCCCCAACGGAAACAATATTTGTTCTTGAGTAACGAATAGAATATAATATAATTATCGATTATTTTAAGTATCAGATTGATTATTTTTTTTTTGAACAATTCACTTTTAATTATCAATCTAAGATTTCTGTCTAATCAAGGGTGTTTCGGATTCAATCGAACCTATAGGGATGTATACAGGGTAGTATTTACATTTCAATGTGATTTAAGAGTTTTGGAAAAAGATTCCAGATGAAAACAAATTACATAGCCTTGTATTAGATTTGTGGCGCCATTAAATATATGGGGTATTTTATTATACTTAATAGTAGACTTTTTTTATTTCGTCTTTTGATGTGTTAGGTAAGAGAAAATCTAGAGTGAAGTGGGTTAAGAAGCAAGTAAAAATCAAATGGATAGGAGAAGCTTTTAGAAATTGTAGTACCGATAAAAGCATTCAATTTCCTAGTTCTTCTTATATTTAGATCACCAATTTAAACTTATATACATGTTATTTTCAATATTAGAAAATTCAGGAAATTAGGTTATATAATCAGACAGATAGCTAGTTTAATTCATTTTTAAAACTGGTACAGGTTAGAATGACGTGTTAAATATTACTTTCCTTAAAGAAATAGTGGCAAAATTTACATAAAAAAAATTTCGAGGATTATTTCTGATTATTAATTATTATCCTGGAACAGAAAATATTTAATAGGTAATCTTATTGATGTTACTGCTCTCTTTTGTTGCAATGGAATGCTTAGGGTTATACAATTTGTTTCTGAGACTATACTGAACTATACGTCTTGAAAATCAGGGTATTCGTCTAATAAGATAAGGCAATCATACATTTTTTAAGGCTTTTATTTTATCTAGGCAAATCCTAGGATGTTTATAACCTGGCATAGCTAATACTTTTTGAATGAATATATCTCTATTCTTGCAATGTCTACCTCATATCTTATTGCATAGCCAGGTGAGTTGAACAACTTTCTCAAAAATAAATTTTGAATTTTCTCCAATTCCTGCAGGTATCTCAAGCTCCATCCAAGAGTCGCGTATAGAACATCGAGTGTTTTATACAATTTGAGATAGGTGGTTATATTCAAATTTCTCAATTTGCTCAATAGATTAATAATGGATTGTATTGCATTTCGGATTTTGGTTAGAAAATAATCCGAGACTACAGCATACGTTCCCAATTGAATTAACGATACTTACTCCTAATCCCAAGTATAAATATGGATTAACGAATTCATTCTCGTTGCTTCTGTACAACAGTGGGAAGAATTTTTTTTATGAACATGACCACCTTTTTGGAATTGTACAATTTTTGTTTTTTGCACATTAACTTCAAGATTATTTACATAGAAAATAGTTTTCTAGATATTTTTGTGAAGTATATCAAGGAGATCGAAATGAAAACTATATTATCAGCAAAGGCTAATAAGATAACCTTCAATAGATTATTTATGGACACTCCTCTGATTTCTTTATTAATTAGGAATTTTTCAATGCCAACAATAAATAGAATAAACGTATACTGAAGTGGGCTCAAAATTTGTCCCTGTAATACTTATAGTCAATTTAAACATGTCTGAAAATTCCTCTTCTGTCTTACGGAGATTTGTACATTTTTATGTAGATTAATGATATAGATGGAATTGTGAATTAAAATGCTTTTTACCTTTTCAATATTTTTAACTTTTTATTTTATTTTATTCAAGTTTTATAGATGTCCACACATGTAGTGTCACTCTGTTACATTTTATTCCTGAAAAGCATCTNTTGACGTTCGCTGTAAAAACGTATTATCTACTTAAACATAAATAAATATAATAATGAAACACTTGGTAACGTTTTCACGAATTTATTGACAAAACTCGACGGAATACGTTCTTACTCTTGATTATGATAGGCTACTATATAAAAAATGTCGAGTTTCGTCAATTGTACAAAGGTTACCAAGTGTCTCATTAATTATATTTATTGGTGTTTAATCATGTTCTTTCACTATGCTTATGCCTTGCACCATGGAAACTTTAGATAGTATATTGTCTACTTATTTATAAGTAATAACGTTTAAAACTACAGTTTTGGAAATCCAAACCTGAGAAAGGTTTCATAGGTTCATTTAATTTCTGATGTATTTGAATCTACATGTAAGTTCTACTACTCCGTCAGAGAAATTAGAAAGATCAATGGCGTATTTACAGTTGTTGTTATTTTGCATCACTTCCAGAAATCAGTTTAATACAATTTTTTTATTGAGACTTTTACAGTTTACACTCAATTTTAGTATTATGATATTTTTAATTAAAAAGTTAAAATATTGCTCCGAGTGCAAAGTATGGGCGGCTACAGAGACTATTTCTTTCTTCTTTATTGAATCTTCTCATTACATCTTAGAACAAAGCATTCACTTATCCCTCTGCAAGTTCCTGGGTCTGTACTAGTTTGAATATTTTAAATATTTCTGTTGACGAAATTTGAACAATCTTCACCTGAAAAAGGTAAACAAATTTATAGTGATGTTATTCAATATATTTTTATGAAACTTTAGTATTTTAGTAATGAGAGCATTTATTACGTTTATTAACACATGAAATACTTCAGTAGTAGCAAATACAAACTAGAGGGCGACACACTGCCTGTACTTGGATATTATGTTTTAATAATAATACCTACTTATAAACTCTAACTATTTGTGAACAGTAATTTACTAGCCCTTTATGTCTCAGAAATTCTTGTTAAGTACATCAATTACACAAAAAAAAATTTTGAAATCTAAATTATACACAACACT